ATCCGATGGCTTGTTAAAATGCGGTTAATAAGGGTTAATAGATATTAACTTTTATACTAAATCTTTCTTATGCTTTATTAATAATATTATGAGGTTCAGTGGTGGTTTAAGACGGACAATATTACTAGTGACTAGTCCGTTAAATTAAATTAAATAGAAATTAAGGCTTGATTTAACAAGGACAATGATTGATACACACTCCAGTTCAATACACTGCGTGACATACTCATTAAAAAATTATTATTTTTTAATTTAAAATTAAAGACAAATAAATTTAATGATATAATTATACACACAGTATATAGGAACTGATTGAATTGACTGTATTTATATTATATTTTTAATGACTAAATTAAAAGTATATAAAAAAATATGTTGAATTAAGGGTCTACCAATAATTTTTCATTTAGCAATGCTATATTATAGTAGTAGGTTTTTTTCTTTTTTCTTTTGGTCTTTTTACTATCTAAAAATATCCAAAAATTAATTAAAATTAATAAAAATATATAAAAATTAAATAAAATTAATTAAAATTAAAAATTTACATTTAAAAAAAAAAGTGTGTGGAAAAATCTGTCAAAAGCTCTATAATAAACGAAGCCTAAGAGAGCAACCTACTACCAACCAAAAACTCCTCGAATTTTAATAGATATCTAAGTATAAGTTTCTTATCTTCATAAAAAGTGCGTACACCTCTATCCTCCATTAGTTTTTACAATTTCTAAATTAAGTTGTAATTTTTTTTTTTGGTTATTATTTTCTATTCTCAAAAAGACAATAACATTAGTATTTCAATTTTACCCTTAAGACTAGTTCTTGAGATAAATTGCTTGCTTGAAAATTAATAAATGTGGATTAATAGTGTATAGTTTTTATATAATTGTGTGTGTAATTTTGGTAATCGAAGTGATTTTTTCTCATTAACATAAAAGACTTTCATACCCTCATCACAAGTGCGCAATTATATACCCTACATGCATGAAGTAGTTGCTTAGTACATAAAAAAAGATTAAATGCGCAAATCGTTCCTCAAAAATTGAATCAAAATGCCACCTCAAATTTTTACTTTTTAGAATTGTGCAATTTAAAAGTGAAAAAAAAATAAATATACAATTTAAATTATACTCAGATTATGTAGTAAATATAAAAGTTTTTTTTCTTTTATTTAATAATCTATATTTTACAATTCTGTAACTTTTAAAAATGTATCAATGTAATAGAAAACAGTAGGAGTAAAATAAAAAAAAAAAAGAAAAAAAGAAAGAGAGATAAAAGATTTAAAGAAGGATATTTTTGTTATTTCACATGTTTCCTCTTTTGCGCGACCCTCAGATGACCGGGTTGCAACACTGGTCACTGCCGACGGATTGCGAGATACAAATTTCCATTTTTGCCCTCCCACAAGCGCGAAGGTGGGCAAAACCAACCGGCCCATCTTCTAGCTGTAACTAATTTTTTGATTAACTGACGACCGTCCGATCATCACTTAACTTTTTTTCCTATTTTAATAAAAGATCTTTTTTCCTATTTTAATAAAGGATTAATAAAGGATTGGGAGTACATATTAAATCAGTAATAATATATTTTTTGTAATTGTCTTGAGTTTAAATTGTATCGCATGCAGGTAGAATGAGATAAAGGATAAAAGAGGGTTGTTTCTTGTTATGCAATTAATATAAAATATATATATATATATATAAATATATTTCTTGTAATTGATTGATATTAAAAATAATAAAAGTTGATATTTATTTAAAAGATTAATGTATATTAATCTTAATTTCAAAAAAAAGTTAGACTTTCACTCTATATTTAAAAATTAAAATTTCAATTTAAAATTCAAAAATTTAATCAATTTTTATATTTAAATATTAATATTTGATAAGATAAATTTTTAAA